TGCCTTTACCGGTTTTCGCGGTCTCTTCGCTTGCGGAATTGTTATATTTTTCCTTCTACCCTGAAGATGGAGGCGATATGTTTCTCCGAAACGTCTGTAACACCACATATACACGGTGCCAAATGCCAGAAAACTGCTTTCTTCATAGTCACCGCCGTGAAAACCTCAAATCTTACATAAGATTCGCTAAATCCGAGACCCACGTAAAGTTAATTGTCGCGTGACACACCCAACACGTGACAGTATTATCTGTTTCTTCATTGTTTTCACTACATATGAATCCTCTATTTGTCATGGAACATATGTTTGTAGTAGTCTAATTTCCGTATTCCCTCTCAGAAACTCTAAAAATTCAACTGTATTAGAACTGTTAAAACTCTTTATTAAAAATCACTACATGTTTGGACCATTCAAGTGGTCATCATCACGTGATAACAATACTTGCGAGCGTTTTTGAATTGCAACCATTTTAACTAATATACGGACCCATATTTACAATATTTTCTGTCTACTATCTGTGCTAGATTCATAGATATAAATAAAGAATTTATAAAATATCTACATTATAATGTAGATGAGATAAAATTGATCCCATTCCATTAAGCGAAATGTATCCTTAGTCAGAAGCGCTATGAGGGTGTAGTCCTTTCTTCCCCGCGTTAGCTGGGTGATGATTAGTATACGTGATACACGTGACGCTTTGAAATAGATACATGGGTATTTCGCTTAGTGGGGGGTGGAGTCCAACTTGGTCCACTCGGAACGGTGGCCACTTATTGGCCTATTGTAGCCTGCCCCGAGTGATTATGATGATGGAGAATTTGGTGGAATGAAAATTGACAGGGGAAAACGAAGTACCCGCCGCAGCGCCACTCTGTCCACCACAAATCCCACTTGTCCAGACCCGGGATGGAACCCGGCCCGCCGCGGTGGGAAGCCAGCAACTAACCGCTTGAGCTATGGCACGGCCACTAGATGGGTGTTATTATTATTATTAGAGGGGGTGGGTTTCCCCATGCACCCCGACTAATAGTGTATTGTACGTCCCCCTTTAGTATTCTACCAGTTGCCATACCCTATCGGTACTGGTATGTGCTATAAGCCCCGTTCAGCCAACGAGATCGGCCCTCGGTACCTGATATTTCCCCCATCTACCAGAGGCATTGGAAACTACTTGAGAGGGAAACTTTATACCTAATTTATCTCAGAGGTCTCCTAGAGACATGAGGATCTTTTACGTGCCCTTACAAATTCCACGACCTCCGCCGGGTTTGAACCCGCGTACCTTGAGTCGAGGTGGGAACGTTACCCCTAGACTACGGAGGCCGCTTAGATGGGTGTTACTTAACCTACTAGGTTATAGTCCTTTACTTGTGTACCCTTGTGCTGTATAGCTTCATCACGCAACAGGATGCACTCTATAAATGTACGTTTGTAGGTAGGGAGACTGTTTAGAATTTAGTATAAACGCTTTGCTTTGCTTTGCTTTGTCGTGTGCTGTGTGGGGTATCTGTCCTGCTGTTGAAGATACGGACTGTACAGGGCGAAGCGGAGAAATGTCACAGGAATTGCTTGTGCCGCTAGGTGACCATTCTCAACACGTATACTCTATTGTAGGACAAGACGCCAAAAGTTTCGCGCGACTGTTCTTTAAGACACAGCTTAGAACTTAATTAAACTTATATACAGTTTACCCCGCGACCTTTTTCTTGTGCTGTGTTTCCATTTCTCACGTAACACCATCCCCGTGAAATGATGATGTAAGCCATGAAGACATTGGTTACGATCATGGAATTGTCGCTTGACCCTGATGTACGAAACATAATTTTCTCTTCAGTCTCTCTTGAATTTCCATACTTTCACTTTTCTATCCCTCTAGTCAACAGAATGGAATAACTGAAGAAGGCAACAAAAATGTGAATCTTACAAACAGACTAATAAGAAAGGGATCTGTGGTTTCCAACTGTTTTACGATACCAAAAACAGCTAAAATATGTCAAGTGTTGAAGACATTTTTATAAGCAAGAAGATCTTGAAGAAGCTGGAAACTCTTTTGTAAAATACGCATCAAAATTAGGAAAGAAACAGAGTATAACTTTCTTGTCTAAACACAAATTTTACGTTACAATAAGCACATTGTGTTCCTTGCTGACAAAAACAATAATAGCACGATTTTGCGAGGATGGTCCCTACACATAAAAGATATTGCCCTNGTTAGTTAGTTATTGGAGAGGGTGGGTTTCCCCATGCACTGAGACCTGTGTTGGTCCATTGTGCTTCCCTCTATGATTTCTACCAGTCTCTATATCCTACCGGTACTGGTGCTTACCATCAGTCCCGCCCAGCCAGCGAGACCGGCTCTACTAGCTGAGAGGTATCTATAATGCTTCCCCCATCTATCAGAGGTATTAGAGACTGCTGTTGGGCCGGAAACGTCCGTTAATTTGGCTCAGTGACCTCCTTTGGAGATATGAGGTTCTTTTACGTGCCGTAAAGCTACGACACGGGACCCACGGCTTAAAGTCCCTCCCGGAGGACTTGTTCCCTGAATTTTTCCTCCCTTAAAAATTCGACGACCTCCGCCGGGTATTGAACCCGCGTACTACGAGTCATGAGGTGGGAACGTTACCTCTAGACTACGGAGGCCGCTAATAAGTAAGTAAGTAAATAAGTAAGTAAGTAAGCAAGCAAGCAAGCGTTAACACCTCACGAATAAGGAACATATCATGATGACAGAAACATTTAGTTTGTTAGAAAGGGATCTTAGCATTTTCAATGTATCGAGGCATGCGGGAGTTCCTCCTCCTCTGTCACAGCTCCCCCCTCGGGCGACAGCACCCAACTGACAGCTGTGATCCCAGGCTGTCGGTGGTTCTGGTGACAGTAGTGATGTCAGCGTCATCCCTCACCCTATCAATGCGAAGAAATCCATACATGCTGATATAATGCCGACTTCCAATCAGTCGCCCTCACATGAATACAAGGCCACCCGCTGCTCGACATGTAGGCCTGATGCATCCGCCCTGTGGCACCCCCAACACCCATTTGTCACTTTCCCGACAGAGTTTCCTACCACATGGATACAAGTTTATAAAATGTTGATGTCAACTCGCAGTGTGTCCATTTCGTTTGGCTAGTTGCATTGTCATAACCAGGGCCCGGATTTTGATGACATGTCATATTTTTTTCCTTGTATCCTATGCGATGCTCTTAAATATATAAATCTCGGATATGAGCTGCTGGTTACAGAAATGTAAATTTTATAGGTATTTTTTGTCATTTTTTGACATTTTTAGGTTTAAGGTCATTTTTTCATTTTGGGGGTAATTTTTTGGTAAAGTTTTGGACGTTTAAGGGTATTTCTTGTAATTTTTGGCCATTTTAGGGAATTTTTCTTCATATGTTTTCTGAAATGTGAATAACATGGAAGCGAAGTGTTCTTTTCTCCTTTAGGTATTTTTCTGGATTTTTCGGCCATTTTTTTAATATTTCCAGGTCATCGAAATCCGTGTCCTACATATTACATTTATGGGTCATATTTTAGGTCATTTTTCTGGATTTTTTCGGTCATTTTATAGGTCATTGTCAGGTCATCAAAATCCGGGCCCTGGTCATAAGGTTAAAAATCGTGATCCCTTTTGCTTTTTCCCCTTATTTATGTTAGATACTCTGCTAAACTTTCACCGTGAAGTTATACTAAGGACAAGTTACAAAACCGTAACAAACCACTAAATTTTCATTAGCATTCGGAATCCACAATGAAGGTCCATTTAAGAACATCACTGCATATTCTTCTGAGAGGCATCTGTTCTCTTGCATTGCTATATTTACGGGCCGTGTTCATTTGGCTTGGACGTCAAGATTCGCGTGAGAATTATTGCAAGGAGTGGCGGGGCAGTGGTTGCTTTGTATTGTGTGAGGGACGAAGGTAACACACTATAGCAAAGACTCTACATCACAGTTAGTGGATTCGGGCAGAACAAATGAACATTCAGTTGAAAACGGATGGGCCTAAAATTGCGAGCGATAGTAAAAGGTAAAGGAAACATGTGAAGTTGATCCCTTCTAACAACGGATATGGGAGATAGAATCTAGATATCGAGGATAACTGCGAATATACCGAATATGCAGTCTCGGACAGCCGACAAAGGGTGGTCCTACAGTCGGTGGTTTGGATGTGGAGCTAACAACTCCTCACCGCAAAAAGAAATACGAAATTTTATGCAGGCCCACGAACGGATTGTTTGGAATTTGTCTCAGGATGGAGACCAGTGAACTCAGTAATGATCCTTCGTGCTCCATAAACTATTCAGATGCATGAATTAATGACGTTTTCTTGCCAATTATAGTGTAAGTAATGTTTTAGGTTTCCATGCTCTACCTCCTATATTTGTCTCGTAGTAATGAATTATTTATCTTAATGTAATTTACGAAGTCCGTTTATTTCCACTGTGATAAATAATGAAACATCGAATTTTGAATTGTACATTAAAACTTACTTTTTTGTTAACACAAAAAAGTGTATATATATATAATCTTAGCTTACACTCCTTATTTTGAAAAAAATAAACGTAAGCTTGAAATCACCATACTGTCTCTTATGTCTGTGTGTCTATGTGTCCTTCCTATCAACTTTTGAATGCCGTTACTAATCTTTATGACGCTTGATCCGTATGTCATGACACCTGATCCCATCTCAACGGCGTACTTCATAAATTCCTCCCATCCGTGTGTCTGTATACGTATATGTATCCCTCCTATCATTGCTAAGCAACGGATCGTTAAAAACGTTACCTCTGCAAAGAATACATACGCAACAATAGAAGAATTGTTGAACGCATCGTTTTCTGCGTGGTCCCTGTCGTACCAAAAGAAAGTAATCCAGTAGTTCTTTCCAGAGCTTTTAGTTGTATCAAGCAGGTGGATATTCATTTGAAAAAAACGTATCAGAGGAAGAGCTTGAAGTGTCATGTGACTGACTTTTCATTTTCTTTATGCAGGAGCACGAGGTTTGAAGCTGGTCAGTCTGAAAGTGCCGCCCGCGGCCGATATCTTTCAGCCGGTGACTCTGATCTGTGAATACGACCTGGAGAGTAGGAAACTCTACTCAATCAAGTGGTACAAGGACGAGTGCGAGTTCTTCCGGTACATGCCTGACTACGAACCGCAGAGTCAGGCCTTCCCCACACCTGGAATCACACTAGACGTAAGTAAGCCTAGACAGTTGCGTGTCACCTATAGTGATACTGTTTCCGAACCCTTTACTACAGTGTTTCACAAATTTCCGGCGGCTGCGAACCACTACATGTGAGGTCTGCGCACGCGCGGACCACTCTGCTATCATAAAGATCCCCTCAGCAATTGCGCTTTTGGCACATTGCTATTAAGAGAAAAATTATAATTAAAACTACCATAAACCGTTTTCTATACACCGACTTAATGTACTCGTATTTTTAAAGTAATTTATCACATTTTTTAAATTTAAATTATTTTTATTTATTACGTGCTATAAAATGTAATATAATATATTATAAATAATAATGTAGCAGTGATAGGGCAGTGTGGCTACTAGCTACGTGCTGGATGACAGAGGGGTCGGAGTTCGAATCCCAGAAGGGTCAAGAATTTTCTCTTCTTCATGTCCATACCGTTTCTGGGACGCACTCAATTGGAACCTGGAGCTCTTCCCCGGGCGTAAAGTGGCCAAGGCCTGACACTGACAACTCAATTCCAAGCAGTGCCGAGTTCAAGGAAACCTGGATCTCTACATCCACCCCCCTATGCCTACATTGCACAGTGCTTAATTNTATTTTAAAGTGAAGACAAGGCATACAATGTACTAGTTTGACGTGAATTGAGTAGCACCTGAAGATGGCATTCTTATGCCGAAACATGTAGTGAAAGTGAAAGAAGAAGATAGATAAGTATATGCACTGCAAGACGGAATAAACAAATCATGAACTTAAATCAGTGCAACAGGACGCTAAAATATAACATTATTTTAATGTAATTTATCACATTTTAAATAAAATAATTTATTCTATTTATTGCATGCCATAAAATACAATATTCATTCATTCATTCATCAGTAATCTGTCAAGACGACAGGTCCACAGTCTCTTCCAAAACAGTTCCTCCACTTAATGCCATCTAGAGCTTTCTCCTTCAAATGAGAATATCCTCTTCTGTCCCCAAGGTCATCCAGCATCTTACGTCTTCTTCCTCGTCTTCTGGTCACTTCTATCCGCCCCTCTATCTTCGCATACATGGTATCTCTGTTTTTGGAAAGAGACTATTTTCCAAAATAAGTTACTTCAACTTATTTTGAAAAATAATTTAGATACCTTAAATCTGTATGATTTCGCTTGGGGCTTTTAATGTCCCCGGTTTCGATTGGAATTGTGGTATACCTTCCCAAAACTTTCACTTTTACGAGGTACGCTAAAGTGAAAGGAGATTTGATTCATTCCACCACTTGGTTTCTTTGTTGAAATCAACATAAGTATCCTGACAAAGGCAGTAGATTACTTGACCTTGTTTTTTTTTAATTTTTCTGATCTTTCCCTTGATCACGCTGTATACGGCCTAGATCAACCCGATCATTTCCTCTCCCCCCCCCCTATCATTGACTGTACGAAGCCAGTTCGACTTTATAAACAAAATTTTAGCATTTATTACAAGAGTTTTTCTGCTGTTGTTTATGTATTGCTTTATATTGCGTCATTTACTTATGACGTCTTCACTGTACAACAGAACATCTCTTGATCCTGCCGTTGAGAAACTACGAGATACACAACGCTCGTACGGAAAGGAACACACATTTACATTAACGACAGCAATATCATACAACCTACACCCAAGAGATACACTGCATGAATATTAACACACCGTAACAGCCCATAGCAATAACATCCAATTACTAAAGCACAACCTCGGGCCTAATTACATTCACCTTGAGACGCCCAACAACGTGGTTTCGCACAGTTATTCACACAACACTGAAAACTGAACATTACATAAGAAATTTCAACATCATATTCCATAATCTTAGTAATTGTTCTAATAATTTTAATATATTATGTTTTAATTATATAACTTTGAATTTTATTCCCAAGGTATTATCTGGTAATACCGTTCCAACATATTATTCGTTTTCGATAAACATTACATTTGAATACAAATTTTTGTATGCTCCTGATATTTTTGAGACAGTCAGTATTGTAATTCTTACATTTCAACATAGGAATAATTCTATAATACTGAGTGTTGCGCTAAATATAGATTTAAGGGTTCAATAACTTTAGCCCTATGATCATAATACTGCCTGATATTGGTCCCATGAAGGCCGAAATCAGGATAAATATCAGTTGATCTTCATTTCTATAAGGACGAAACTTATTTATGCTTACCTTACAACAGTTCAGAGCCACCTCTTGTTACAATTCAGAAGCAACGGTGGATCACGTGGTCTAAGTTCATAGTCCTCTAACCAAGGAGAATGTTCAGGTACAGAATAACCACCCTCATGATTTCTTAACGTTCTTCACAAAGGAATCACGTAGCTTTCAAAGGGAATTAGTGCCTTTATTTAATTTGTGTTCTGTATTCAAAATATTCCTACATTCCATTCTTTCTCTAATTAGAAAAATTCGAAACACGAAGTTGTCGACGAAATAACTGGTTAACACTGAAAATTTAATATCGGGAGTTGCTGTGTACTTCGACGTTCTGACTAGACTGAAATTCCAAGCTCAAAGTTGAGTGGGTCTTCTACATTTTCGTATGAGAATGAAATACCTTAAGTTTATTGGTTCTTTATGACGACATTCGCTACAAAATGCTAACCCTATCTTCATACCTCTTACCTATTGGCCAGGGGAATATTATTCCTGTTCTCTCACTCAAATATTGCCACACTCGCTCGTTTACTGCAGTCACAAACACGTTTTCATGTACTCACATTAACGTTCGTTTCTTGTCAAATGTATTTGCCTGTTTGTTTTCATGTATATTCCACTGTTTCATTTTGAATTTGAAGACCGTGCTAAATAATGAACATATCTCTATGTTTATATATTGTTTTCTTCATATAAATAATATACAATCAACTATAAGGGAGGTGTGTTGGTGCATTATAACTTATTTATTTATTACTAACTTATTTCGGAACACAATCCATACAATTTCCCACAAGACGACTAATACAATTAAACACTACTTGTAACTTAAAGGAATACCTGGAGATATATACAATCTGAGTGGTATATACCAGCTATAATGCGGTGAATGCCCACTCAAATATATCGGACAGACAGGACGCACATTCAAAGTCAACTACAGAGAACATATGAAAGCTATCAGGACCTATAAACTACATTCTAAATTCTCACAACACATTTTGGAAACTGGACATACATTTGACACGATGGTTCTGTATTAGATATAGAAAGAAGGGACCCGAACTCAACACATTAGAAAGACATAATGTATACACAACATAACGAAGAAATATCTACGTTTACATAAATACATAACCCCATATTAGACATTCTAGTAAAAACACACACACTAAATAACACCAACCCTTCCCAATCTATTCAACCACTCACAGTATCCTCCCCCCTACCTCATACCACGTGACTCTTCACAAACATACACACACACACACACACACAGATACTTCTCAATAGAAAATCAAAGCTCTCTATGACTAACAAAATACTACTATACAAAGCTATATTGAAACATAGTTGGTCCTATGGTCTTCAACTCTGGGAATGTGCAAAGCCGTCGACAATCAATCTCATCCAGAGATTCCAATCAAAAACACTAAGGGCAATTGCAGACGCGCCACGGTATGTGAGCAACCTTGCACTCCACAACGACCTAAAGATACCCTTCGTCAAAAATGAAATGCTGAGAATGGCTGAAAGGCACAAAAACCAAACTGTAAACCATGATAACGAATTAACAGAAGAGCTACACACCAACGGTCCAGTGACAAGAGGACTGAACAGAACATGGCCCCAAGACATCCTCAACCAATGAAATAGACTACATGTAGGAGAAACATCACTGGATGTTTCCCTCGCAAGCTAACCACCTACAGCACATTTACTTAATACTCTGTAATGATGTAGATTGTAAAGAAGCATTATATACATATACCCCCAAACAAATAGTCTAGACCGAACCGTTACAACATAGCGACATCAACACAGGGAGCAGCCCTTACACACATCATGAGAAAATCTAATATATGTGAGTACATATACTAAACAACCTAATAATTAATTTAATAACAACACACAAGCTTCGCCTTGTAATAATTACAAAACTGTTACAGATCACTGCAAATAAACAACCTGTTGGGTGACACACAGAATAACGAGTATAAGCTCCACAAGACGATAGTAAGGTCAAGACGATTCCGATGCGCATGCGCCCCACACTATAATTGCTACTACCTCCAGAAAATCACGTCAACACGTAGCGGGCACAAAGTTTTGAAGAGATTTATTGCAAAATACTTCATTTCCAATGTAGTACAATTCTAATTTTTATGTTTCATTCTTTAGTCTCTAATTTTAAATTGTATTGTCTTAGTATTTTTTAAATTTTAACTGAAAAACTCAATTTATGCATTTTAAAAAGACTCAAGTACATAATAAGGATCCTTATTGAAGAATTAGATGCAATTCAACAACTGAGTCTGGTATCATTGTACGCCTGATGATGACCCAGTGTAATGGTCGAAACATGTTGCGTCAATAAAAACAAATGTTGATACGATAGTGTCTACTCTGTTTTAAATACAGAATACTGTTGTGTAGACTGCATACTTTTGTATACATTTCATGTACCTTGTTATTCAAGCAACACTAACAAATTGTACTCCTTTAAATGCTTACATGATTCTCGTATGTTCAAAGAATCCTTTACCTAATTCATAATGCTTATTCTCATTTTTAGAGCAATGTATATTCGGCTGCTGGTTCGGTACCATCTCTGTCCCTTCTGACTCCTGTAATCCCACTAAATTTAACTTATATTTTGATATTTCTTTCACAACTCTCATACAGACTTCTTACATCCCACGTACCAATTCTCAGGTACATTTTTCTTAGCTTAGGTCGTTTATCTAAAAATCCAAATTTGAGGCCCTTTGTGACATTTCGTAGCAAACTAATTTTTTACAGTAAGGAGCTGTTTACCCCACGCTGAATTCCCAGCTGGAGGACTATCCCTTGTCGGCTGTCAGCCGCTGCTCATTCAGTATATTCGCAGCTACCCTCCATACCTAGAGACCGTCTTCTCAATCCGCAACCTGAGGACG